TTTTTTTTGTTACCCCAAATATTGAAAATATTGTTTAGTAAGCACTAAACAATAACTCCCCATTCTTCCCCATCCCCAGAGCCTGGTCACCTCTACTTCTACTTTTTGTTTATATAATTTTGCTTATTATATATATTTCATGTAAGTGGAATCATACAGTATTTATCCTTTAGTATCTGGCTTTTTTGAATTAGGATAGTATTTTTGAGGACATACAGGTTGCAGCATGTTTCAGAACTTCGTTTCTTTTTATGGCTGAATAGTATTCCATTGTATGGCTATACCACATTTTGTTTATCCATTAATCTACTGATAAACACGTGAGTTGCTTCTACCTTTTGGTTTTTCGTATATACCTAAGAGTTGAATTGGTGGGTCATATAGTAACTATTTATCTACATTTTTGAGTAACCCACACTGTTTTCCACAGTAGTGCACCATCTTACATTTCCACCAGCAATGTACGTTGGCACATTCTTGCCAATACACTTATTTTCCTTTTTTTAAAATTATAGCCCTCGAGTGAATGTGAAATGGTATTTTATTATAGTTTTGATTTGTATTTCCCTAATAATTAAGCATATTGAGCATCTTTTCATGTGTTTATTGGTCATTTGTATATCTTCTTCAAAAAAATGTTGGTGGGGCATGGTGGCTCACGCCTATAATTCCAGTACTTTGGGAGGCTGAGGTGGGCAGATCATGACGTCAAGAAATTGAGACCATCTTGGCCAACATGGCGAAACCCTGTCTCTACAAAAATTACAAAAAGGCTGGGTGTGGTGGCGGGCACCTGTTATCCCAACTACTCAGGAGGCTGAGGCAGAAGAAACACTTGAACTCAGAAGGCAGAGGTTGCAGTGAGCCAAGATTGCACCACTGCACTCCACCCTGCCAACAAAGCGAGACTCCATCTCAAAAAAAAAAAAGAAAAAAGAAAAGAGAAAAAATGTCAGTTCAACTCCCTTGCCCTTTTTTCAGTTGGGTTGTTGTTTTGTTTTTGAGTTTTAGAAGCTGTTTTTATATTTAGGATGTTAAACCATTATCCTATATGATTTGTTTGCTATTTCTCCCATTTTCTAGATTGTCTTATTTTCTTGATATCATTTGATGCATATAAGTTTTTGATTTTGATTAAGTCTAATTTATCTTTTTTTACTTTGGTTGTTTGTGCTTTTGTTGTCAGATCTTAGAAATCTTCATGATCTTAAATGTGGCTATATTATCCCTATATTTTCTTCTAAGGGTTTTATGATTTTAGCTTTTATATTTAGGTGTTGATCCATTTTGAGTTCATTTTTGTACATGGTGTGAGATAGCGGGTCTAACTTCATTCTTTTTTATTTTTTTAATAGAGACAGAGTCTCACTCTGTTGCCCAAGCTGGAATGCAGTTGTGCAATCATAGCTTACCATAACATCAAACTCCTGGGCTCAAACAATCCTCCCACCTCAGCATCCCAAGTGAGGACTACAGGTATCTGCCCCCATACCTGGTCATTTTAAAAAATATTTTTATGGAGAAAGGGGTCTTGCTTTGTTGCCCAGGCTAGTCTTGAACTCCTGGCCTCAAGCAATCCTCCCACCTCAATTTATTTTATTCATGTGAAAATCCAGTTGTCTGGCACCATTTATTGAAAAACTGTTATTTTCCCATTGGATAGACTTTACACTCTTGTCAAAATTCAATTGGCCATAGATATATGGATTCATTTCTGGTCTCTAAATTCTATTCCATTAGTCTACATGTCTGTCCTGTTACCACACTGTTTTGATCACTTTAACTCTGTAGTAAGCTTTGAAGTTGGGAAGCATGAGTTACCTGACTTTGTTCTTTTTCAAGATTGTTTAGGCTATTTGGGGTCCCTTGCATTTCTGTATCAATTTGAGGATTGGCTTTTCTATTTTCATTTAAAAAGGCGGTTGGAATTTTGATAGGGATTGCAATGAAATCTCAATACTCTTAAGTTTTCCTACACATGCACATAGTATATCTTTCCATTTATTTAAGTCTTTAATTTCTGTCAGCAATGTTTTGTAGTCTACAGTGTACAGTTTAACCAAATCACCTCCTTGGTTAAATTTATGTTAGGTATTTCATTCTGTTAGATGCTACTGTAAATGAGATTGCTTTCTTAATTTCCTTTTCAGATTGTTCATTCCAAGTTTATAGATATGAGACTGAGTTTTGTGTGCTGATCTTGTACCCCGCAACTCTGTTCTATTCTTGGTCATTACGTTTTAAGTGTATGTAGTGTAAGCAACCTATAGCAAGATTTTTTTAATCCAATCTTCAAAGTGGCAGTATTTTACTTTTTTTAACTACAGATATTAATTGTATGTTTCCTACCATATTAATTTTTTCTTTCTCTCAGGATTGTTTTTGCTTTTTAAACTTCTTTTCGGCCTTCTATTTATTTTTTTACTTTCATTTGAAGCAGAGTCTCACTCTGTCACCCAGGCTGGAGTGCAATAAGCAATCTTGGCTTGAGCTCATTTTTTATATTTCTAGTAGAGATAGGGTTTCATCATGGTTGCCAGGCTGGTCTTGAACTCCTGACCTCAGGTGATCTGCCTGCCTTGGACTCCCAAAGTGCTGGGATTACAGGTGTGAGCCACTTTGCCCAGCCTGGACATTTCTTTTAAATGAAATCACATAAAAACCCAGCTTTATTGACTGGGTTCTTTTACTTAGCATAATGTTTTCAAGATTCATCCAGGTCATAGCATATATCGGTACCTTATTCATTTTTATGGCTGAAAATATTTCATTGAGTAGATATACCACACATCATTTGTCCATTTATCAGTCAGTAGGTATTTGGATTGTTCCCATTTTTCAATACTATGAATAATGCTTCTATGAACGTATGGACAAGTTTTTGTGTGAATGTTTTCATTTTGCTTGGGTATATATCTAGGAGTGGGATTGCTTGGTTAAATGGTAACTTTGTTTTGAGAAACTGTTATTTTCCACAGTGGCTTCCCCATTTTACATTCTACCAGCAATATATGAGGGTTCTAATTTATCTACATTCTCACTAGTAGTTATTATCTTTTTTTTTTTTTTTTTTTGAGACAAGAGTCTTGCTCTGTTGCCCAGGCTGGAGAGCAGTGTGCAATCTCGGCTCAATAAAGCCTCCACCTCCCAGAGTCAAGCAATTCTTGCGCCTAAGCCTCTCAAGTAGCTGGCATTACAGGTATGTCCTACCATACCTGTCTAATTTTTTCGTATTTTCAGTAGACAGAGTTTTGCTATGCTTGCCAGGCTCTTCTTGAACTCTACTCAAGTGATCCTCCCACTGAAGCCTCTCAAAATACTGGGATTACAAGTATGAGCCACTGTACCTGGCCTCTTTTTGATATAGCCATCCTCCTGGGTGTGAAATAGTTATCTCATTGTGTTTTATATTTTTGGCTCATCATTGCTTCTTCTTTGTCTTATCTTCCTTGTGGATTCTATTTCCTTCTTCCTAATGTACATCTTTTATTGTTCACTTACAAGGTTGTATTAGTGGTAAATTCAATCTTTATCCAGAACTACTTTTAACACTAACAAGTAATAATTTACCTTGATATAAAATTCCATATTGCAGCTTGTTTCCCTTGTAATCTTTTGAAGATATTATCCTGCTGCCTTCTTGCTTTTTTTTTTTTTTTTTTTTTTTTGAGACAGAGTCTTGCTCTGTCCCCTAGGCTGGAGAGCAGTGGTGCAATATTGGCTCACTGCAACCTCTGCCTCCTGGATTCAAGCAATTCTCTCCTGCCTCAGCCTCCTGAGTAGCTGGGATTACAGGCATGCACTTCCATGCCTGGCTAATTTTTCTATTGTTAGCAGAGACAGGGTTTCATCATGTTGGCCAGGCTCTTCTTGAACTCCTGACCTTGTGGCCTACACACCTCGGTCTCCCAAAGTGCTGGGATTACAGGCATGAGCCACTGCATCTGGCCCACTTTCTTGCTTCTTTTATTGCCAATATGAAATTTTCTTTGTGCAATCTATATAATCCTTTCCCCCCATCTAGCTACCGTTAAGTTCTTCCTTGTCTTTGTTGTTCTACAGTTTCACTACAACGTGGCTTGGTATAGACTTATCTTTGTATTTCTACATTGAGGTTTGTGCTTCCTGAATCTGAGGATGTATGGCTTTCGTCATGTAGTAGTTTTCCCTTTGAACATTACTTGTTCTTCATTTTCTTTAGTTTTTCATTTTAAAACAGCTGTCAGATCCATGTTAAATCTTTTTATGTTTTATATTCTCCATGTTTCTCTCTGTGTGCTGCATTCTAGCTAATTTCCTCATAGCTATCTTCTAGTTTTAGAATATTCCTTCACTGTTTGATAAATTATTTAACAGAGTTTCAAAAATTCTAAAATTGTATTTTTTATTTCTAGAAATTACATTGATTTTTCTAACTTACGTTTTTGATAATTTTCCTCTTCTCATGTTTCAATTTCTTCTTTTATGCTTTCTGCAGTCAGCAGAGTATCATTTCAAAATATTATTGCTCTGTTTTTTAGTCTCCATTTCATTCCCAATCCTAGAGATTAAAAAAAAATAGTAAGAATTCAACTATGTTAAAAAGAAACTTACTCGAGTCATATTTTACCTGTTATTTCTAGATGGTTTTAGTGGGAAGATTTTCAGAATTTTCTTATCATTTTAAAATTTTAATATTAAAAAACAAAAATGTATCCTGATTTAGAACTGTGATGATCTGAGCAAATCCATAACTTTTAGGCCATCTACTATTTGGTTTCTGAGGTGAGCAACCATCTACTGGAATGCAAACATTGCTATTTTCTTGTTGCTATTAAGGAAATGTCAGATGAAAACAATTCTTAGATACCTTAAATAGGTTCTATTCCTACTTCTTGGAGTGGACTCTATAGTCACTCTATAGTCACCCTATCCCATGATATGAAAGCCCTAGGATGGAAAGTTTTTATTCTCTATTCTCCCAAAGAAAACTGAAGAATAAAAGAAAACAAGGGTTTGTCTTTTTAACTAAGGAAAACGTTTATTTAAATTGTGCAATCAATCAGTATTTAGACAGCAGTTTCATAAACATTTTGGCATTTAAACTTTTATTCATTTTTGGCATGACCTGAAGGGCAGTATATAAACTACCCAGTGGGGGTGGGGTGGGGCAGGGGAGTTCTAAGCAATATTTACTACGATACTAGAAAAAGAAAACAAATCTACATTATTAAACAAATATATTTTAGAAGACATTAAAAAGATACATTCAAAATCAAGGCAAACATTTGCTTTCTTTGTGCAATGGCATTCACAGAGCTGATCCCCTGAGTCAAGTATAAAATTAATATAGCTCAGCTCTATAGTCCATTAGCAAGTCTGCAAATGCTGCCCTTACAAGAAAATGGTATATGGAGTGAAAGGATCCAGAACACCCACAATATAAAATAATTTAACTGGCTCCCACACTTTCATTTAATTCACATAATAGAAAAAAAATCATACACACAGACATAAAATTTTGTCCCACAACAGCAACAGGCAGACACATTTTCTTAATGTATGTCCCCTACTGATAGGCTAAGGCAATGTGTGTGTATTCAGGCTTTGCAATTTCCTCTTAACAGGCTCAAGTTGCTAATCATCAGTAATAATTTTCATTTGCAAACAAAATAGATATCCAGAATGTTACAACAAGAAACAGAATATTTTAAGGTCAAGATTTATAATATTTTTCTTGCTTTTAAAGATAGTTCCATAGAAAAAATAAACTTCTGTAACATAATTTTTTTTAAAGTTGTAAGTCAAGACTGTGTATATACCATGAACTACTTACAAGCTATGGACTTAAGGAAATCTGCAAAACAGTTCAGAATCATTTATGGATAAGAAAAAAGGGAAAATATTTCTCTAAAAAAAGAAGACAATCATATTTCCAACAAACCCTACATGTAGACTCGAATAAACCAGAACCAGTATGTGTTGCCCTATATAAAATTCATTCATTCTGAATAGTTTGCAGAAATATTAAAATACTCTGTAATCTTGAAAAAGTAGGAAGAAGAATCCTAAACATGCACTTTTCTCCTCACCCCTCTACCCTGCTTGAAATATCTGACCCTCTAACTCTTTAAAAGCCAACATACCTAAAAACAAAAAAAGAAAAGAAAAAAAAGAATGTTTAAATTGGGGTAGGATGACTTCAAATTTAATACTTCAAAAGTACAGTCGTTTCTCATTTTCTCTTATGAATTTATCCATCTAACAGATAACGATTTCAATTTTGGCGTGTCTTTTACCAACCACATTTTCCTATTGATTTTTATACGTGTATAGGAGATGCAAACATTTTTCATTTCAACACAGGCAAAATATAATTGGTAAGGCTGACTTGTATAGAAAAAGTCTGTAGGATCTTTCACAGCCTCATACAAATGAATTTCAGATTATGATTACACTTCAATTTTCTCTTAAGTTTTCAAAGGACTACTGTTTCATTCTGCACAGCAAATTATCCTCAGATCATGGATAGAGAAGGAACAGAAATAGGTTAAGAATTTTTGTACCAAACAATTCTCAGAATTGTCAAGATTAGAACTTAGGTGCTCCAAAGCCTAACTTTACAACTGTTCTGTTCTATGACTCTCTGTCAACTATGCTCTTTCCTAAATTAATTCAAATAATGAATTAGTTTATATTCACAAAAAGTCATGAACTATTCAGACCTAACACAAATAATTACTGGTTACACACCTGACTTTTTCAAGTTAATGAATTCCTGTTTGGAATATGGTTGCCACAGAAAAGATAAAATCCAATTCTGAAGACCTTGTCGAATAAAGAAACACTTGACTAGAAAAGGATTCTAGAAACTATGCCTACCTTATTTGTAATGCAACTCTAAGCACAAACATCAGCCTTCAGACACAACTTTAGCTGAGAGAAATTGAAAGTTTTGAAGAGAGAAATTAGGAGATGATAAGGGATGAGTTACAGCTGCTTAAATTCCTCCTGTGAATAAGTGGATTTAAATAAGGCAATCTTCTCTTTTCTGATTGGTTACTACTCTGTAGAAAGGTTGTTCTGACACAACCTGACCTTTGTGGATACAAGGGGAAAAAAAGTTGTATCTGATCATATTATGGAAGGCACTATGACCCTGGATAATTAAATATCTTTTTTTCTTCTTTTTTTTTAGCTGAGACAGTGTATCATAGTCTTATAAACTTTGGAGTATAGAACCAACTAATTAGGGTTTGTATCTTGACTAAATCACTCACTAGTTGTGACTTTTGGTAAGAGATCACGAACCTCTATTTCCTAATCCATTATATGAGATATTTGCTTTGCAGAATGAAGCAGCAGTTTACAGAGATTAACCATGTGCTTGCACACTGTAGCTGCTCAACAAATGGCATCATTATTTCCATGAAATGAGAGAGGGGAGAAGTTGTAAAATGACCATTTCTCTTATGCTTACTCAGAGTATTATCCTGGCCTTTGTTCCATAATGAAGACAGCTTTATCTATTTAGTTGAAGAAATGCTGAAAATTGGTGTAGAATTAGACATTATCTTTTAAAGTTGAAAGAGGGCCAGACTTGCAATGATCCAGAAATTAGAAGAAACTAGAGCTTTGATAATCAAAAATTTTAAAAAAAGAAAACAAAAAGAAAGAAAGAATAAAGGCCGGGCGTGGTGGCTCATGCCTGTAATCCAAGCACTTTGGAGGCCAAGGTGGGTGAATCACCTGAGGTCAGGAGTTCAAGACCAGCCTGACCAACATGGTGAAACCCCGTCTTTAAAAACATATATAAAAATAAAAAATAAAAAAAAGAAAGAGAATCAGGAAACGGCCAATTGGAACCAAAGAAAAATGACAAGAAAGATCAAATATCCTAGGAGATGTATATACATGTTGATGGCATAAGTAGAGGCTCTTGCTGAGGAGGCTGGGCAAACCAAGGGTTAACAAAACTGAAAAGCATTTAGTGGCTTAGTGAAGCTGAAGAGATAAACCAGATTTAAAGGCAGAAAGGTTGCATGTTGTGAATATGTTTTTAAAAGAAAACAAAAAATAAACTTGAGCATGGTCTTGTTCATCATTCTGAGTCCCTGTAGAACACAGGTCTTCCCCCAACTCTTCCTCAGCAACATAATCATTGAAGAGAAAAGGAGAGAGCGCAACTATAAGAAGAGTTTTCAATTTTTTTCTGAATAAATTCCTCAAAGTTAGAGGCAAATATTTAGGGCACTTTCTGATAAACATGAGATGTTATTTTACGAAGCACATCTTCAGAAAGTTTAAAGCTAACTTGTTTCACAAGTATTTTGGAGAGAAAGTTTAGTGTATACTTTTGGTAGTCTACAAGTTAAAGGTTTCATGCTTTTAAACTTTAAAGATCCCCAAAGGGCACGGGACCTCAGATTTCCAATCTCTTTAATGCTACAGACATTTTTTAGGGATCAGAAGTGCATAGAAAGAATCTATCTGTTGTAGGCAAAATAGTGGCCACCTACAGAAGTCCATGCTCAAATCCCTGGAACCAGTGAATATGTTAGCAAACATAGCAAAAGAAACCTCAGATGGAGAGATTATCTTGGATTATTTATGTGGGCTCAATGTGATCACTGGAATCCTTGAACCTGGAGAACCTGTATCAGCTGGGGTCAGAGAAAGAGAATGATAATGGAAGGAGCATCAGAGAGATGCTACATAGCTGGCTTTGAAGATGGAGGGAGGGGTTCCCAGCCTTAAAAAGCTGGAAAAGGAAATGGATTTTCCCCTAAAGCCTCAAAAAGAAGCTGCCCTGCAAGCACCTTGGTTTTTATCCCAGTGATACCTGTGTTAGACTTCTGATCTGCAGAACTTAAGACAAATGTGTTATTTTAAGCCACTACCTTCATGGTAATGTGTTACAGCAGCAATAGGAAAAATAATACAGTATCTGGTAAAAATACAAGACTGTCATGTTAATCTTAAACACCACCAATGGCTTAAAAAGGGAAACTGAGAAGATTAAAGCCTGAAACAGACACATTGCATTAGCCTATGATCTTATGTCCTGAGCATAAATCAACTTAACACAGAATTCTATGGTTACATTCTTCTAATAATCAATGAAAATCACAATTAGACAACTGGTTGTATATGGTGATCTCCAGAACCCACTACTCTGTGCTCACAAACTGTAAAAAATATTTTCACTATGAAACCAACAGAAATTTATCAGAGACCCATGTGGCAAATGGTCAGGAACAAAGTCTGCAAAATACATGTTTAGTCTTAGATAATGACTGTTTCAATATAACTGGAACTTTTCTTTACAGTCAGCATTCAAAATGTATACTCAATGAAACAGAAATGTACATAAGTGAACCGCTATAGCCACTGCTGAAGTGGAACCACGTCTGGGTATTCTTGCATTAAAAAATAAATGATACTTTCAATTCCATCTTTTTGTAACATGATCTGAATTATTTTCAAAGATGGCGTCAAAAGGACTTGAACGATGATCCTGGGTTGTCAACCATGAGCACATTTCTGACAGCGGTCCTTTACAAAGCCAAGACACACTGAAGTAAATACCTGTCACTGTTCCCAATGTTGGCATTGCTCTTGTTTGAAGCACAGACCAAAGTATAGCATTTTACACTAAAAATCTAATTTCTTTGGTGTGGCAAAACTTATTTTTAAAAGTCACTTAATGGAAAAAAGCTGTATAGCTGTATTTTTACTTTTAGGCAAATAAAAATATAAAACTCCAGATTTTATTAAAATTTTTTTCCCTTCACCCAAGGTTCCACTAAAGTTTGAAAACTGCGCTCCTTTGATGCAATGAAACATCTCCATTTAACAACTCTAAATTCCAATCTAACAACTTTAAAGAGTACATCTATCAAAGCATAGCCCATTAGAGAGTGACATGATTTGTTTGCCTGTTATATCCTTAGAGATGAAAAGTATCCCTGTTATTAAGGGACTGCCTCAAGCTGTCTGAGCTAACAGGTAATGCTTAAAGCAGGAAGAGAACTGTACAGGCTAATTCAGAGGTACCATAACACTCTACAACAGAAAAGCTTGCTGATATTTCTGTTGACATTTCACACTCATGGTGCTTAGGAAAGTATCACATCATTTGGCAAAAACATCATGTGGCTGAATCAGCAGATTAAAGGGAAAGTCCCCATGCATGCTATTTGTATACAGACTGGGTTCTAAAGAGACATGTTTGGTTTAACATAAAAACAAGAAACAACAGTTTAATGTACAACTAAATTTGCCTATATGCCGAGGTAACCTTAAATATCTTTGGTTTTTTCTTTTTAATTTGCTGAGAAAAAGTAGTTGAATAAAAACACTGATAAATACCAATACAATTGTATTGCTTTTAATTATGTAAACTTAGCCTTTTGATATCTTTTGCTACTAAAGCTAGATTCTCTATTAGCCTCTAAATAAATTTATTTCAAAACTGCTCATCTTACTTACTTACAGGCTAACCTATATATTTTAATGGTCTTTGGTATGAAAATACTGATGAGCAGTATCTTGTAATATTTGGCATAAAAATGACATGCATGTATCAGTACTCACAGCAAATAAATCTTTGGAAAAGAAAATAGTTACCATTTGCATATCAGCCCCTTTAAAGTAAAATACCATGAAGTACCACTATGAAAGGTGAGTGAAAACCTTCACATTTTAATTACAATTTCATACTTAAGACTTCAAAGAAGCTTGCTTTGGTCAAGTTAAAAGAAGTCTTTGCTGTATCACTAAATATCTTAGTCAACGAGATCAAAGTATTTGCTTTTGTTGAAAAAAAATTTTTCTCTCCAACAAGTAGTTTCAACAATATAAAAATACTTTAATACTGTAAAATTGAAGATTTACTCGCTGAAGAAAAAATTATACCTGAAATTCTTTGGAACGATCTGCTGGTAAAGATAAGTATTATAACTTAAATGCTCTTGTAACAATCAGGTAGTTAACATTACTATCTATTTTACTACAACAATCAATACAAACCCTATTGTTTTGGGTTAGTAACTACTTGTGTAAGCTTCACATCTATAAATGTTTCTAGTTAATTCAATTTGGAGGGAATTATAATCAAAAATTTACTTTCTACTGAAAATTCTTTGGTAACAGGATTCTTATGAAAAAGTCCGTATAAGAACAAAATGAAAAGGTAAAAAATGTACTGGTAAATAATTATCAAATAGTTATAGCCTAAAGTTTTAATATAACTATGAGCCTATTCATCAAAAACCAAACAAACAAAACACTTTCCTCAAGGACTTTAGCTCATCTTTTTAGCCATTTAAAACTATTTAAATTCATGTAGTCCTAGACACATCTTCCATAATCATGACAGAAGATGTTTCAGCTTTAGATTTTGTTTGCCTTTTAATGAAAGCTTAAAAATAAAATGATCTCATTGTACTTCTTAATTTTAGATACTGATAAAAGTTGGCCCTACATACTTCTACTTACGAACCAAAAAGCGCCATACCCTGTCATTGTGCCCATGCTTCCATGAGGCAGCTCAAAAGTAACAAAATGTTCCCTGAGTACAGGAAAAAAAATAACACTAGAATAATTTTAAAGGAGGTAGTATAAAACAGGAGCTATAAAGGCAGGAGCAGCATTTTCCTTGCTGCAGACTGTTCACCTAAAGCTCTGCTTTTTTGTTTTGCGATGAATTCCGTACTTAGATAACTCACTGGGGGACTTTGAATTTAGCCCAGAAGTGGCTGCTGGCACTGAACATTAGTATTGATCACATCCAGTTTGGCACACAATTAGAGATCTTAAAATGTTATGTCTATAGTCATTGGACTAGCAGATGATGCTGGGACTATTATCCACTCATTTTCTCTTTATTTTAGAACATCAGTTAACATGACCCTGCCCTCTCTATGAACAAAGCATTTCAAGTGTAAACCCATTAAGATTCCTCTTAAAATGAGACTCAAAAGTCACTTCTGGAAAATTTGAAAAAATACTTTTAAAAGGATATGGGACCCCTTCCCTACCCGTGTTTACTTATTTATCCTCTCCCACCGCTGGGCACCTAGGTAACTGTCTCACGACTGAGAAAATGCCTATGTTATGTAGCTGAGTAAACAATTTGCTGATTTCAAACCAGCAAGAGGATTAACTCACTCCTAGAGTTAGCATTCCTCATTCACAGCATTGACACTGAAGGAAGATTAAGTAGATAACAAATTCTCTTAAGAATTCAAGAAAACACAAGTAAGGTGGTAAAGCTCTGAATATTTATCCCTAAACAAAACCTGCACTTAAAAAAAAAAGCCTCGGTAAGATACTATACATCAAAGTAGTTATTGATAAAATCCAAGAAATTCTTAAGGCAACTTTTTGTACTCCTGTACTAAACAATTTCATGAATATTAAAAAGGTATAAGGCAAAGAATTTCATAATATATACTGAAAGGCACTGTTACCATAATAACTTCAAGGTCATTTCACGGTCTACTGTTGCATTCATCTTCATTCATAATAGTTTAAGAAATTTCCTCACTCCTTTAAGCCAAACTGGGATAAAAAAAAGAAAAGAAAAAAAACCTTAACCCATTTTCTTTAAAAATCCATTTTCTGCATGGGGTTTTGCAACTAATACTGGCAAAGTTGAGGATGCTTTGCAAACTAGACAGTGCAGCCTTTGGCCAACTGTCAGGCAAACAGGAAGACAGAAAAGGCACGGTTCCAGGCAGGTTGAGGTTTGGAACATAGGAGATAAAGCATGCAGACTCCAGTGTCCAAAATATAAAGGCCTTTTAAGCAAAAAGATCCCTGTCTGCTACTGAATAGTTCTGTTCTTAAAAGAAATATACCTTCTTGGTTTGGTCATTCGTTAAACAGTCCCACTTTTCCTTTTCTCAGTGTTTTAACAGTCCTCACAGCCAGAGGTATGAACTTATCCAAACCATGCAGATGTCGCAGTTTTTTTTTTAAAAATCAGAGCTTCAGATAAACATGCTTACTCATCTACCTATATGACTCCTTTGATCACACACATTACACATACAGCAATGAAAATACAATACTACTAGGAAGTATCATTGGTTATATAGCTGAGATAAACTATAACAACAAATGAGGTAACAAAGTTGTCTTCAGAGTTTGCCGGGGGGCAAACTGAGGTAGATAGCCAGCAAAGGGGCTTTCAGAAGTCTTCCCTTTGCTCCAGTGATATATTTTTAATACAGTCAAACATCTTGACTGTTCTTTCACATTGCTGACAATGAAACATTCAAATTACACAAGTTTAAAAATAAAAAAACACATTCAAAAAAGGTGAAATATCCCATAAAGATATCAAGATTTTCACGAAAGGCTTTGGCTCCCTGTTCATTGTCCTTTGAACAGACTTACTGGTGAGAATACCTGAGTGTGGCCATCTAGATTGGAAAATTGTTTTTATCAAAGCATCGCATGGCAGATGGCAACTGCAGAACTGAAGAGGAAGTCTGCTCAGTAATGGATGACACGGCAGGGTCTTCACACTTCCTCATGGTGGAATCTCCACCTGAATCACTGCCCGTGAAAGAATCAAAGGTCAGGGGGAGTGGTACTTATAACTGAGGACAGATGTATCTCATCATTGGACTCATGAGAGAACCGTCCAGAATCCCCAGTCTCGTGGCTTCCTTCGCTATTTGCTGAATGTTCTGTATCAGGTGCAACACCAAAGGGTCTTGAGAAGTTGGTTGTCTGCCCTGGGGAGCTGGGGGAGTCTTCATCACTGATTAGTACAGTAGTGCCTGGCTGGTAAAAGCAGACAGCTGGAGTAAATCTTCTTTGAGGCTAGGCAAAAAAAGATAAGATGGCAATGAAATAGCAGGCTGATCAAATCTGTGAGCAAAAGCTTATCAGGTCCCTACAGAGAGTTGGGAGCACATCAGAACTACCATGGCAAGAGAAGTGTCAAAAGCTTCTTCAGTGCTTTTGATGCATGCTCCTGCTCCTATCCCTTTCTCCACTAACTCCAATCCCCACTGAAAACTGCAGCTCTGATGACTGTCTCAACTCCCATTCAGTTATCACTCAGCTCAGCTATCCACAGAGCCATGCACCAAATTAATAAAATCACAGCCATAAAGAACACATAAAATTAAAGCATGAATTCACATTTTTCTCTTTTTTTTAATAATCATTTCATATACCATATATTGCCAAAGATTTTTCTCATTTAGACAGGCTACCTGCTGAGCTTGTATCTTCTTTGAATCTTGGAAGAAAAACCATTTTTTCTTAGAGTTGTTTTTAATTATAGGACCATAGCTATTAATTATCAGGTCAGTTCCTCCCTGGGGAAATAAAAGAGGGGAAATATAAAATATCTTGGTATCACAGATTTCAGTTTATCACAAGCAGTGCATACTTTAACTTTTACTATTTGCTTTGCATTTCCCTTTTTATTTTTATTGTATTTTACATTCAGGGAGTACACATGCATGTTTGTTACATGAGTATATTGTGTAGTGGTGGGGACTGGGCTTCTAGTGTACCCATTACCCAAACAGTGAACATTAGTACAAAAAATGTTTAAATGTTTTAAAAAAATGATCATAGATGTCATTAATTCTTCTTTAAAACAGGAAGTACAACATAGTCAAGGTATTTGTTAGTGGTCAAAATGATATAATAGGTTTATTTTTAATATTATACATAGGCCAGGCGCAGTGGCTCACGCCTGTAATCCCAGCACTTTGGGAGGCTGAGGCAGGCGGATCATGAGATCAAGAGATTTGAGGCCATCCTGGCCAACATGGTGAAACCCCGATTCTACAAAAAAAAAAAAAAAAAAAATACAAAAATTAGCTGGGCGTGGTGGTACACGCCTGTAGTCCCAGCTACTTGGGAGGCTGAGGCAAGAGCACCGCCTGAACCCAGGAGGCAGAGGCTGCAGTGAGCTGAGCTCGCGCCACTGAACTCCAGCCTGGTACCTGGCAACACAGCAAGACTCTGTCTTGGAAAAAAAAAAAAAATTATACATAAAATATATATGCCAAAACATATGAAGATATATATATATGCTCTATCTTCCAAAACTTTCAAATGGTATAGCAAGCAAAAAATACAGAGAAAGACATGGAATTATAAGATGTTAACAATTACTAATTTATATATTCAATACATTATTCTCTCAACCTTTCTGTATATTTGACAATTTTAAAAAGCAGATGGGGATAAAAAAACCATAATGAACCCACATATGTGCAACAAAATCACATTAGGTGGAGTATGAGTTCTAGGGCTAACCCAAAGGAATTAAGAGGGAGATTCTCCAAACGAGCTTCTGTCCTTCGCCTCAGGCCTCTCTGCTCCTTTCATTTGTTTCTTCTCCCTACATCATCCTCCCTCCCACTCTGCTTCTCACCCCACCTCTCTCAGGTCTACTTCCAAACTAGTAATAATATAATCACAGTATATGTATTAGTACTTTTTAAGCTCATTTAAAAGTTTTAGGTTCTATGTTTTAGATTAATTTGAAATAAGTTGAATGGCTTAATTTGTAGTAGAAAGTAAATGCTAAATTAGGCTGCAAACAAAAGTCAAGAGAAATAGCAAATATCCACTTATTCCTATTTACCTATAATATATATTGTATGTAATACTGTACTAGATACAAGTAAATAATATCTGTTGAATATAATGGCATAAAATTTAATATCAAAATTTCATTATACTTCTGTTATTCTAAATTTTAGGAAAGGATAAAGGAAAACTAATTTATAACAGGGTTTGGCAAACTTTTCCTGTAAAGAGTCAGATTATAATGATTTTAGGCTTTGCAGGCCACATACAGCCTGTGTCACATCATCATGACCTTGGGTTTTATTTTTGGTAAACAACCTTTAAAAATGTAAAACACAGCCAGGTGCAGTGACACCTGTAATCTCAGAACTTTGGGAGGCTGAGGAGCCAGTGTGCAATTGGAGGGGAACATATCATCTGAGGTCAGGAGTTCAAGACCAGCCTGACCAACATGGTGTAACCCTGTCTCTACTAAAAATACAAAATTAGCTGGGCATGGTGGCACACACCTGTAATCCCAGCTACTCAGGAGATTGAGGCAGGAGAATCGCTTGAACCTGGGAGACAGAGGTTGCAGTGAGCTGAGATTGCATCACTGCACTCCAGCCTGGGGAACAAGAACCAGACTCAGTCTCAAAAAATAAAAAATAAAAAACATTCTTAGCTCAGAACGTAGCTACACAAAAACAGGCCCCAGGCTGGCCTGGGTGGGACTGTTTACTGACAACTGAATTACAGCACATTGGTTACAGGAACCATTGCAATAATATACAATATCTATAGTTGTAATGTGACTAAAATGATTTTAAAAGTTGTTGTTTACAATGCTTACAACGGCACTATTATTATTATTATATATACTGGAGAGGACACGAAGTAACTTCCTCCAGTAGAGTTTCTCTACTATATCCAACTTTCTTTATCCATAAAATGAAGGATCTTGAGGCACCCATTTAAATGCTCCATATTTGAAAAAATGTCATTCATACTTGGGATGTTCTGATGAGCAATTAAGTTCAAGAATCCACCAAACTAAGTAAAATAGATTAACAAAAAGGTGACCACCCAGTAAAAGGTGACCCAGTAAACACAGGTCAGTCCAAATTATAGTAAAGAGACTAATGACCATGGTATCTTTGGTAAGGTAACCTCACTCCATGTAATCTCACCTAATTGAATTTTTGTTACCTTCTCACGTTTTTCTATAACTTTCTCACCTTTTATCTATACTTACCTTTTCTCCCCTAAATATTTTATGTAAGGAATGATCTGGGTAAAATTTCAATGTTTCATTAATAAGAATATTGATATAATACTTATTACATAAGATATATAACTTTTAATTATACGTCTTATATATAAAACATATAACTAAATTTTTAAAATTTTCTGTTAAGTACATTTTACACATAAAGGAAAGAGGAATGGAAGAAAGGTGTGCAGCAAATCTCGCTGCTCAGTACCTTTGCATCAATGAAGCTGTTTGGCATGATCATTGGCATTAAAGATTCTTCATTTCCTCCAACTCCTTCCAGCTTCTTTCCCACATTTCCACCAGCTAAGGAGGCACTGGTACGAGGTAACTGTTGAGCTCCATTCTGTGCCGTCTTTGAAGCAGATGATTTCCTAAAATATTGGCAAGAAGAGGAAGTCTTCTAATTTCACAGAAGTTACAGGCAGATGAGCCACCTGGCCTATCGACAACAAAACTTTGCAAACAATGAAGTTCTTTTAATACCCATTTCTCAAATATTTTTAGAAAGGAATGTTAACTTACTGCTGCAAACTTTTATTATTTAAAAAGGCATCTTTATTTCTTTTTGTCTCAATGTCTACTTAATATAAAATAACTCTCTACAAACAACTGTTATTGCTTATTCATAATTTATGCAGAAATGATAATTTTTAACTTATATTCTCCCCTTAAGATATGAAGATTATTATACTACAATAAAAATTCACTTTCCAATTGACGGTAAATTTACAATTGTACTTCAGGATTTAGGCATTACTAAACAATGTGCATTAATAGTTTATTTAAAAATTCTTAAAGTGAGAAACTTTGACAATAAAACCAAGGCAGTTCTGTATACGCAAAGATGTCAGAACTATTTAATTAACATAAAGTTTTTGAGTAGTATGTTTCCATGGAGAAATAGGAAACATATAGAGTAAACTAAAAAATCTATGCTACAGAGGGTGTCTAATGATGGGGATCACCTAAAACAACTTGTATATGACGTTGACTTTTTTTAATGGAAAAAAATAGCTTTAAGTAAATAAACGAAAACAAAACCCAAAATAAAAAGGTTAAAAATAGACAAGTTTACTGAATGCAAGTTACTAATGAAAATTTAGCCAAAGTCGACCCACAGATGAGACTGCCTGACAGTTTACAGATACTCGATCCTTGGTTATTACATTTGTCTTAACCCTTGTCTAGAGAATCCCACCATATATCCCGTGGTGTTCTCAGTGGCTTACGCACTTCAGGTACTGTTACTGAAATATAAAATATTTCAGATAGTAAGAAAAAGAATTTCTTTCCTAAACATGATTAATTATGCCTTTTTTTTTTTTTTAATAGACAGGGCTTCTCCCTCTGCTGCCCAGGCTGGAGTGCAGTATTATGATATGATCATAATACTGTAATGATCATAATATATAATAAGCTCACTGTAACCTCAAACTTCTGGGCTCAAATCATCTTCCTACCTGAGCCTTCTAAGTAGCTATGACTACAGGCACATGACCACCATGATCAGCTAATTTTAACACTTTTTGTAGTGATAAGATCTCACTATGTTGCTTAGGCAGGTCTCAAACTGCTATCCTCCCAAAACTCTGGGATTACCAAGGTTGATTACCACCATGTCCACACAAGTGTGCCATTATTATTATTTTTTTAACCAAAAGATATCCTTTCTGTTTCTCAAAATACTAAGAAAATGAGGACACTAGGCCAGGCACAGTGGCTCACGCCTGTAATTCTAGCACTTTGAGAGGCCAAGGTAGGCAGATCATTTGAGGTCAGGAGTTCGAGACCAGCCTGGCCAACATGGTGAAACTCCACTGCTACTAAAAATACAAAAATTAGCCAGTCATGTTGGCAGGCACTTGGGAGGCTGCGGCAGGAGAATCGTTTGAACCTGGGAGGTGAAGGTTGCAGCAAGCTGAGATGGCGTTACTGCACTCCAGCCTGGGTGTCAGAGTGAGATTTTGTCTCAAAAAAAAAACAAAATCAAACAAACAAACAAAAAAACACATGAGGACACTAGGTCCTCATTTAAGAATATTTTATTGGCAGAGTAATATTTTCAAATACCAAGAAAATAATCTCCTAAAATGAGCAAATTTCTATAGCTGTAAGAACTGAGGGAACAATGCTGCACATTTATTTTAAAGTAGGAAATCCCAGTTATTCTAAAAGATACTTGATTTCCATTTGTTTCCTGTGGCTACTGTAATTTAAATGTTTTTTACCTCAACATCTCTAGCAATGGAAACGCACCTGGCTTTACTTCGGTATATTAAGATGAGAACACAGATGAGGATGCAGGTCAAGGCTATGCCAACACCTACAGCAATGCCAGTCATTGATTTTTGGTCCAGATGGTAATATCCTGAATAAACTAGAGGGGAAAACACAGAATCAATCAGAAAAATAAATTATTCAATTTATTATAATTCTCAGATGCTTGTTTTTCCAAAATTTTTCTTTAGCTCATTGGAAAAGTTTAGACATGATCAATATCAAAGCAGAAAAGACACACAGTAATCTTTAACCGGTGGCTTCAGAGGCAGATTTATCTTCCAATATTAAAGATTTTAAATATGAGTTTTAGATATCATAGCAGTCATGAACACCAATTCATAGTTTATGAAACTAACAGGCACAAAGATGTTCTTTGATAGACCCAATAACAGATTTTATGTCATGCCGCCTTAAAAGCAGATCTGTATGTTGAAGATTAGTTTTCCATTTACATACACTAAAGCAAGGCTCTGATAATTGCCTGTGAGTCACTAGGGATAATGTGAAAATGCAGACTGTGATTCACTAAGTCTGGCATGGGGCATGTGATTCTGTGTCTACGAAGCTCTGAGGTGATGTCATGCCACTGGGTTCTAGACTACTCTGAGTGGCAAGGTATTTGAGAAGTCAGTATGAGCCTTGCTTTCCATTTCCCCTGATAATATGGTAGCTACCATGGCTCTTTCTTGTTCTTAAATCTGACTGCCCCTCCTATTATTTTCCTCTTTCATTCTCTAACACACACACATCCCTGGCACCGAGTAACTCATTCTCTGTGGAGCTAAGAGCCCTTAATCCTGCCCTGAGTTCAGCTGGCATTGCCTCCATTTAGAGTGGCCCCTCTTCTCCACAGGCCTACTCCCCCAAGAGGAAGCACAGAAAGTGTCCACTCCTGTGCTACAGGGAGCACTGGCTTTCCTGAGAACACATGGACAGCTGTAACGACCACAGTAAGGATGGCTCTCTAAAGATATTTTTTCTATTTGCTTTTCTGAAGAGAAAAAAAAAACAACCCAAATTCTTCTCCAGAAAGGTTGTTTTTCTGTGGTGAAAACTGTTAATGAAAACCATGCTCCGTTCTTAACTTGAACGCCGCAACTACCACTGCTGTTTATTTCTGTGAAACCTCCCAGGAAGCCCCCTCCCACTAGCTCATGGCTAACATGGCTCCTCCGTCTTTGTGGATGCAAAGCTGCAAGAAGAATTAACTGGAAACACAGTGGTTTTAAAACTGCAGTTAATTCTGAGGTAATTTTGCGTCTTGCTAGGACTACGGGGAAAAGCCATGCAGCTCCAAAACAACAGAACCTCATCAACAACTTAAGGAACTGAAAGCCACTTTAGGGATATGGCAATTGTAGGAGTGGAAATAAAGTGTAAGGGAGAATACCTTTTTTTAAAAGAAAATCACAGTGATTATGGCAGTATACAGACCTTTGGCATCTGCAGCATTTAAACGCTTGGGCCTCTGATTTGATTCAGAGGTTTCCTTTGGAAGTACTGCCAGCTCCACAGAATTTGAAAAGGGTCCTTCTCCCACCTCATTGGATGCAGATATCTTGACAATGTACACATTTCCTGCTACCAAGTTTTCCAGCAAAGCCATGGTTATTGCTCCTATAAATACATCAATTACAAATTAAGTGAATGTTTATCTTTCATTCTTTCACTCACATTATACACTGTCCTTTATTTTTAAAAATATTTTTCTGATTATAAAGATGCCACATATTTACTGTAGACCATTTAGAAAATAAAGAGAAATATAAATAAAATAAGTCTTCCATTGTTAACATTTCAATATATTTGTGTGCATATGTGAATATTTGTGAATATATAATACATATTTACTGCATATATTTTTATATATTAGAGTTTTCACTGAACATTGTAGTATGTACATATTCCCAATATAATCCTTCTCTGTAATTCTATTTTAGAAGTTCTTAAAACTAGTACACATTTTTGTTTGGGTAAACACACACACACACATACAAACACCCACATACACACCCACATATTTATCTATTTGTGTGTGTGTGTAATGTTTTACTCTTTACATAGATATGAATACAAATAGAATTTAGAACATTTTACCATGGAACATTTCAAACATACACAGAGATAATGGTATAATTAACCCAGATTCAATAATTATATTCTTATTTTTTAGAGACAAGGTCTTGCAACATGGCCCAGGCTGGACTGGAACTCCTGGGCTCCCCAGTAGTTGGGACTATGGGCAGACTCTACTGTGCCAAGCTTTTAATGATTATAATTGGATTTTTAAAAATCCAGCATGAGAATCATTTTTTAATTGGAGGTGCTGAAACCACTTATGGTAACAGCCGTGATAGGTAAACTTGTTCTTCCTTCCTAAATTAGAACAACATGATTATTTTTGAAAGCATGAATATCTTTTTACTGGCCTTATTTTTATTTTATTTGCAGATGGAGTCTCGCTCTGTCCCCCAGGCTGGAGTGCAGTGGCACAATCTGGGCTCGCTGTAACCTCTACCTCCTGGGTTCAAGCAATTCTCCTGCCTCAGCCTCCTGAGTAGCTGAGATTACAGGCACCTGCCATCATACAGGCCTAATTTTTTTTTGTATTTTTAATAGACACGGGGTTTCACCACATTGGCCAAGCTGATTTCAAACTCCTGACCTCAGTGATCCACCTGCCTTGGCCTCTAGAATTACTGGTGTGAGTCTCTGCACCTGGCCTGGCCTAATTTTTATCACAGATTTAAGATAAATGGAAGAAAATGCACAATTATGTAAGAGTACTGAAGACATGTCTCAGATTAAACTATCAAAATCACCACCAGCAATCTATGTAAGATCTAATTCTCTTCCTAATTATCATCTGAATTTACATGTGACATTTGTTATCTAAAGGTATTTTCTCTGTTGCATGAATGGCTGCTAAGAAAGATTCCTATTTGGACAATGCCTTTGCTTGAGGTGCCTTGTTCTGCCACTTCACCAGAAGTATTGCTCTTAGAAAAACGCTCCTACCCTAGGAATTGATACTAGTGCTAAAGATGTAATAGAAATTCAACGAGAAACCTGTTTCAGCACTTTGTGGGTGGATATGCACAGGGAAATCTAGCTTTCCTTCGCTGATTTCATCTCATTTCTTCCTGACTCAGCACAACCTTACAATAGCTTCAAACAGCTTACAATAGTTTGTGACAGTTGCCTCCTGGCCAGAGCTGGCTATCCCAGTGCACTTGCTAGAGTATATTTCATTATGCAAGCAAAACGTGGGGTGATCTAAGAGCTGAGGTCATGAGACAGAGGCCACCTCTGCAGGTCACACGATGTGAGGCAGCCAAACCTCCAGCAGCGATGCCAGGAGCCAGAACACAACTTGTTTTCATGTTCTCTGGTTTCAGCTTGGCCTGAAGAGAGTGTGAGCTACTTGAGTGCACAACTGTTAAATAAACAAAGTAACCTCTATTTAGAATCAGGAAGAATCTTTCTACTGTTACTATGCTTTTAGGCGGATGAATTAAAAAACAAAGATGTATTATGAATGTTACACTTAGCTAAAAGGAAGAACATTTCCATGTATTCACGGAGATATAAATAATTTGAGTTTCTGTTTTATGGTAAAATGCATTTAATTTTAAAAAGTACTTGGCAAAAACTAATCACTACCAGAAACTAAATCTTTTCACTTAAGTTTTATGTGCAAACCAGCAGTATGTGTGTGCATGAACTCCCTTTTTCCCCCAAAAGTATCTTCATTTAGATAAAAGGGAAATTCTAACATTCTGGTTCCCCTGTGAGGACACTCAAAGCATTTCACAAATGCTAAAGTGATCTTTCTATATTCTCTCAACAGACTTCTCAATCTTAATTAGTGTGATTATTTCCATCTCCTGCCTTTTATATGTGCCTGAATCTTTAGTCAGACTAGGAATCTTATAAGCAAGACAGTGTAACAGATTAATTCACATCAAAGCTGGTCAAATCTTGTCCTGTAACCAAGTGAGGAATTTCTGACTTGGGGCATGTTACTGAACTGTATTTTCCTCATGGAGACAGTAGTTCCCACTGGATATAATTCTTATAAGGTTTAAATAAACTATCATTGGCAAGTATCTGACACAAGTGTAAATATTCAATAAAAGCAAGTTTTCCTCCTTTACCTCTGACTCATCTTCTTCTTCTTTTGGAGAATAGAAAACTTTTTTTCATATTTGGACCACAATGTCCATTTAAATTATAAAAGCACAAGGTAAGATTTTGGGGTTGAAGCAGTGCCCCAGATTACAGTCTCAGATCTTTCTCTCCTCTGTCCACATGGTTATGTAATTGTTTTTCCAGATCCACAGCCTTAAATATCACCTATACATTGATGACTAGATATATCTCTAGTCCAAAACTCTCCCATAAACCTAATTTTCCCACTGCTTAATTGGCCTCTCTAAATGGACATCTAAGACACATCTCAAATTTCACACTTTCAAAACCAAACCCTTGATTTCTCCCACTTACTTCACTTCTGTTTTTTTCTTATGCCCCACATCAATATACAAGCATATCTGACTGGCTTTTCTTTCAAATGATGTTCCAACAGCTTATTACCATCACCATTACCATGCCTGTCCAAGCCCTCATCAACTCTCACATGGACACCTGCCTATGCCATGGTCTCCTAGCTTCCACTCTTACCTCCTTACAACCCATTTCTCAGGTGGCTGCCAGAGCAATCCCTTCAAAATGTAAACCTGATCAAAGGTCTCCAATACCTTCCTCTCTTACAATAAAATCTATGGCTCATGAAGTCTGGTCTACATGTGCATTTGGTTACCTTCCTAATTCACTTCTTACTGCCTGCTCTTCCTCTCACTCCAGCCTCTCTGGCCTTCTTGCTGTTCTTCTAACATGCCAATGTACACTTCTGCCTCAGGGCCTTTACACCTCCCCGAAATATCCACAGGGTTATCTTTGGATGTCATTTCCTCCACAGAACTCTTTTACTGCCTCCATCGCTTTGGTTTTTTTCCCTACTGTACTGTCTTCATTTTTTTTTTGAGACAGAGTTTTGCTCTTGTTGCTCAGGCTGGAGTGTAACGGCATAATATCGGTTCACTGCAACCTCCACCTCCCAGGTTCAAATGACTCTCCTTCCTCAGCCTCCCGAGTAGCTGGGACTACAGGCATGTGCCACCACGCCCGGTGTAACTGTTTTTATAGCATTTATGACACTAGTTAAAATCGTAAATACTTGTTGGTTTGTAACCTGTGATATAAGTTCCAGTGGTGGTAGGGATTTTGTTTTGTTCACTGCGGTACTGCCAGTTCCTAGAATAGAGCCTGGCACATAGTCATCACTCAATAATAATTAGTTTAATAAATAAAAATGTTCCTACTATTGGTGGTCCATTTGGCAAATGTTGGGTTAAATGAATTCCTTTATCATAGGATTTCTAATTTCTAGTGTCAATCTCTAATAAGAGGAAAGGTATATGGTATTCCTCAAACTTATTAAATCATAAAAAAACTTTTTTGAGAGATATCTTTATGATAACAGGAAACAACTCATAAAGGACAGAATTCATGGATTGCCGAGATATAACATAATTTCCGCCAGTGCCTTTTAGATTTAAAAAGAATTGTGTACTTTGTGCTGATTTACTGCATACGAGGAAGGTAAAGGTTTTTCTCATAATCTTTTTTTTTTTAGACTGAGTGTAGTGGCACAATCTTGGCTCACTGCAACCTCTGCCTCCTGGGTTCAAGTGATTCTCCTGCCTCAGTCTCTTGAGTAGCTGGGACTGCAGGCTCATGCCTACGCCCTATAATTTTTGATTCATTTAAAATTACACACAAGTTAATTTCATGTCATATTTCTGCTCAACCACTGTACTGCCATGTACCATTTTAGCCACAAATATATGCTCACCAGAAACATTTTTACATGTTTTGATTCATGAAAAATATTTCATTTGTATTAAAATATGTGAATTAAATATATATGTAAATATATATAAACCTAGTATGTATAGATTAATAGGTATATGGGAAAAAATTGACATTTTTTCCTTCATCTTTTTCTATAACATAACTTTTCTAAAAGTTGTCATAATTATACATAAAAGACATTTTAATTTTTCTTTAAATGCCATGTTATAGGCCTTGCCTTTTGTTTAAATGTGAGTCAAACTCTTATGTTTTTCTCTCTCTGAAAAGTAAACTAAATTACTTTTTATTGACTTGTTTTCTATGAATCATTGGCCTTAGCTATGAAAAAAGTTCTCTACATTTAACAAATGACAAAAGCTTTTCACAAATAATGTTTCTTAGAACCACAGCAACTAACAGATTATTTTTTCCTGTTCACTATTATATAGCTAGAAAGGCTTATATAAATGTAAAAATCTGGACTATAATTCATTTCACTACTGAGACATCAATGAGGCAAAATGCTATTTTCTGAGCCCTGTTTCAAAATTACAAATGGATACATCTAAAAGAAGCCAGAATAAAATATATAATGCTTCCTTTTCTTTCTTTCTTTTTTTTTTTTTGAGACGGCGTTTCACTCCTGTTGCCCAGGCTGGAGTGTAATGGTGTGATCTCGGCTCATTGCAACCTCTGCCTCCCGAGTTCAAGTGATTCTCCTGCCTCAGCCTCCCTAGTAGCTGGGATTACAGGTGCATGCCACCATGCCCAGCTACTTTTTTGTATTTTTAGTAGAGACGAGGTTTCACTATGTTAGCCAGGCTGGTCTCGAACTCCTGACCTCAGGCAATCCACCTGACTCAGCCTCCCCAAAGTGCTGGGATTACAGGTGTAAGTCACTGTGCCCGGCTCTATATTATTTCTTTTTAGGCAGGTACAAATGAAGAACTCAAAGAAATATGTGTTCATTCTATCAAAATTCTTTATTAATACTTATGACACCTCATTAAATCGAGTTAGTTATTTGGTTAAGTGCTGTGTCAATAAATCATTACAGAATTGAATAACTGAAACTAAATTATATATTTTAAGAATACTGTGAGGCCAGGTGCGGTGGCTCATGCCTGTAATGCTAGCACTTTGGGAGGCTGAGGTGGGTGGATTGCCTAAGCTCAGGAGTTTGAAACCAGCCTAGACAACACAGTGAAACCCCGTCTCTACTAAAATACAAAAAATTAGCTGGGCATGGTGGCATGCACCTGTAGTCCCAGCTACTTGGAATGCTGAGGCAGGAGAATTGCTTGAACCTGGGAGGCGGAGGTTGCAGTGCACTGAGATCGCACTACTATACTCCAGCCTGGGTGACAGAGTGAGACTCCATCTCCAAAAAAAAAAAATCTGTGGTAGACTGTAACACTGAAGGCCTCTAGTAAGTTATACTCCCATCGATTCACACACCCTTGTAGCCCTCCTGACACTGGCTCCAGACTTGGCCATGTAGCTTACTCTGCCCAATTAGACATTACTGAATGTGATGCAAGCAGAGGCTTGTGAAAGTTGTATACGTGAGGCTTCCTCTTTTCTCTTTCTGACTTTGAAGCCCTCCCTTGTTGTATATGTGTGTGTGTGTGTGTGTGTGTTTTTTTTGTTTTTTTTTTTTGAGATGGAGTCTCGCTCTGTCGCCCAGGCTGGAATGCAGTCGTGCGATCTCAGCCTGTCTCCTGGGTTCAAGTGATTCGCCTGTCTCAGCCTCCTGACTAGCTCTGACTATACACGCACACCACCACACCTGGCTAATTTTTGTACTTTTAGTGGAGATGAGGTTTCACCATATTGGTCAGGCTGCTCTTGAACTCCAGACCTCATGATCTGCTCGCCTCAGCCTCCCAAAGTGCTGGGATTACAGGTGTGAGCCACCACACCCAGCCTCTCTGTTGATGTTTTTAGGAGGCTACTCAGAGACTATCAAACCTGTAATATGGCTGCAGGCTTGTGAAAGACCAACAGAACTGCCAAGCTGATTTTAGTCCAAATTGTTGACTCAAAGAACTGTGAGAAAACAAAACGGTTAATTTTAAGTTGTAGATTAGTCTGTTAGGCAGCAATAGATAACCAATATAAACATAAAATCATATTGCTGCCGAATGCTTAGTACTTTCAATTCTCTTCAGTGACCAGAAAATCATTATTCAGTGGGGCTTTTGCTTAATAAAAAAGTAGGAACATGCAATGATCAAACTCCAGCTAAAGTTATCATCTGCTTATTTAAAAACTCTTATTTTATATTACATGCACATAAATATCTTTTAAGTTTATCTTCTTAATTGGATAAATATTCCTCTTGAAAAGTACAATCTATATGGGAGTATCTAGTACTATACAGTGTAAAGGTGGCCACTATATTTCCTGCTTGAATTTCTTCTTCAGCTTTTCATTGGGTGGCAAACTACTCTTCTCAGAATGCATGTCTGAATTAAGGAAGTGCCAAAATAATAAAGTTTCACTATTTATGTGACAGACCATCTAAAAACTGGCAAACAGGACTTGCCCAAATTAAAGATTCAAGATTTAGTCTGGATGTGATGGCATGTGTACCTGCAGTCCTAGCTACTCAGGAGGCTGAGATTCTGTCTCAAAAAAAAAAAAAAAACTGCAAGATTTAGAAAAGGATATAATGATAAAAATATGCAGTAAGAATCCTAAAAACTTTATAATTCAGTTTTTCTCAGGTAAAAAAAAATTACTCTAAAAAATTAAAGTCAGTGTTCTTAAGCCCTAATCAGCTTTTCCCTGTATTTAAGAGGACTAATATTCATACGGGTCAATTTTTTATATGTGGACCATTTTAGTCCATTTAGCACAACAAAGGTCTTCTCCCTTATATCCGATCTCCTTCAGTGTTTCCTTCTCCTATGTAAGACACACCACCAGAAATCTAAGACTTATCCATTAGAAATCTTCCCTTCCTTAATCTTCTCTCCCTCCTATCATCCAAGCTATCAAGCCCTACCAATTTTAACTCCTTAATATCTGCCAACCATCCTCTCCTTATCATCTTAATCCTCACTATCCTAGTTCAGGCTTAGCATAACTTCCTAACTAGTCCTTTTGCATTACTCTAATCTCCAGTTGGCCTCAACCAAACCTTCTTCTTTTTTTTTTTTTTTTTAGACAGCATTTCACTCTTGTTGCCCAGGCTGGAGTGCAATGGTGCGATCTCGGCTCACTGCAACTCTACCTCCTGGGTTCAAGCCATTCTCCTGTCTCAGCCTCCCAAGTAGCTGGGATTATAGGCACCCGCCACCACACCCAGGTAATTTTTGTATTTTAATGAAGATGGGGTTTTGCCATGTTAGTCAGGCTGGTCTCGAACTCCTGACCTCAGGTGATCCACCCGCCTTGGCCTCTCAAAGTGCTAGGATTACAGACATGAGCCACTGCACCTGGCCAAACCTCTTCTATTAACAAGAGTAACAGTAACCTTTTTGAAACACAAATCGTTTTTAAAAATTGGTGGATAGCTTCCCAAGGCTCTTGGAAAAAAGCCAAAATCTTTAATAAATTATTACTTCATACATAAAAATGTAAATTCAAAATAAACTCTAGATTCCCCTTTCATTTCTTTAACATTCATAATCTTACTTTTCACCCTTCGTGGCAATTTATGATCATATTTACCTTCACGGTGTAGGACCTGCCACTCTCCTGCAATCCAGGCCTTCCTGGATGCATACAAGATAGTATAGCGAGTCACAACTGTCTCTGGGCCATCAGGGGGTTTCCAAGAAACCAGGGCGGTGTCATCCTCTATCAATGTCACTTTTACTCCAACTGGTGGACCTGCTGGTGCTGTACACACACAACAACAAATTGTATAAGTAGAACAAAATGGTTTATAAACACTCAAATACCTGGCTGATAGGCTTAGAACAAAAAGTTCAAAACATTAGAAACCACCATAAAAAATCACAACTTTCAAAGATCATTAATGAGAATAATCAAGTACTATTTTTTTCTTTTATTTTCATAATATTTAAACATTAAAAAACATAAAGAAGATAGTAGATTCCTAGATGGAGAATCTATGTTCAAGAGATAGCATTTTTAAAGTTCTTGAAACGTTTTACTAAACTGCTAACTAGAAATGTTTACTTCCACCAACAGAACCTGCCCATCAGATACCGAGTTTCACCCCATGAGTGCTGATAGTTCTTACTAACATGTACAGAACATCAACTTAACCTGATCTAGGTGACCAGTGAAGAAAATGCTTCTGAGATTAAAACGTTTAGTTATTCCTGGAAAAGCTGTGAATCAGGGAACTACAGGGCAGACTTAAATCTAATAATATATCTGTAAAAACAGTAAAATCTTGGAATTTAAGTTGACTCCATGTTTAATATGAGCTAAAGTGTGAAGAGTTGGTTTTTAACACATCTCAAAAGGGATATTGCCAAAACCATAGCAACAAAGTCCTAAGGTCACTGTCATAAATGTCCCTTACTTTCTCTCTGTATAAATAAAATAGAGTAGAAATTATGTCTATAATATATTATCTAGTCCTTCGTCCTCATTCTAGAGATAAGAAAATGTAGGTCTAGGGATATAAAACATCTTAGATAGAGTCATAGGTAAGCCACAGAATTGGTGCTCAATCCGATATATACGTTGCACTGTGCACACCATCAAGCTGCCATTCGTACAGAAATAACTTCATTATAATGTTGGCTCCAAAGATCATTAACAAACATATTATTCACTTACTGCCACTTAAATCATTTGGCTGTAGATTTGAAGAACACACCTGATCTTTTTTTAAGTCTCTAAAAGGACACTACATTTAAGCCTATCTGCTTGTACAATACACACTCTGAGAAGAAAAAATTTAATTATAATAAGGAATTTCAAAAGCTAAAAAAAGAAAACAAAACAAATATATAAATCAACTGGTAGGTGGCAACTAGGGTAATATCCTACTCAGAGTAAATACATATTTTTTAAATATTTCCTTAATTTTTTTTTAAAGATAAAATCTATAGGGAGCTGTTTTCTTTACCTTCTAGAAGAGTAGAACGGTAGACTACAGGGCTCCAGGGACTGGAAAGCTGATCCACGTGTAATCGAACAGCAAATTCATACTTGGTGTTTGGTTCTAGACCTTGAACCAACATGTGAGTTTCTGATCTATAATAATGAGTGATGAAGTTGTTAATGCTGGTAGCATATTGCTTCTTTTTTCTTTTTTTTTTTTGAGACAGAGTCTCACTCTATCACCAGGCTGGAGTGCAGTGGCGTGATCCTGGCTTACTGCAACTTCCATTTTCCGGTTTCAAGCAATTCTCCTGCCTCAGCCTCCCGAGTAGCTGGGACTAGAGGCACGCGGTAGCATATTGTTTCCAAAAGAATGTTAGCATTTCCAAATAAGTAAGGGCATAATTTTCTTTACCACCTTATTTTATTTGGAAAAAAATGTTTACACTGGAAGAACAATTTAATTGGACTTTTAAAATACATTTGGTGTTATCATATAGAAATAAGCCTATCGGTTGTCTCTCTGAGAGCAAACTTAAAATGTCCCAATAAAAAGAGATTTCCTCTAAAATACCAGAAGCCAGATCATTCGTTCATTCATTCATTCATTCATTCAAGACAAGGTCTTGCTCTGTTGTTCAGGCTGGAGTGCAGTAGTGGGATCATAGCTCATTGTAGCCTTCATCTCCTGAGGGCAAGCAATCCTTCTGCATTAGCTTCCCAAGTAGCTAGGACTATCTATAGGCATGAACCACCATGCCTGGATGATTAAACAAATTTTATTTTTGGCTGTGCGTGGTGGCTCACACCTATAATCCCAGCACTTTGGGAGGCCGAGGTGGGAAGATCACCTGAGGTCAGGATTTTGAGACCAACCTGACCAACATGGAGAGAAACCCCATGTCTACTATAAATACAAAAATTAGCCAGGCATGGTGGTGCATGCCTGTAATCCCAGCTACTCAGGAGGCTGAGGCAGGAGAATCGCTTAAACCCAGGAGGTGGAGGTTATGGTGAGCCAAGATCACGCCACTGCACTCCAGCCTGGGTGACAGAGCAAAACTCCATCTCATAAAAAAAAAAATATATATATATATATATATATTTTTTTGTAGAGATGGGGTCTGGCTATGCTGCCAAGGCTGATCTTAAACTTCTGGCTTCAAGCAATCCCCAAAAATCATTCTTTTAGAGGACTGTGATGGGCATCTTTCTAACTCTAACCAAGAAACAGAATGACAACTGTCCCTACTTTTTGACTGCCAGCATGAAGATAGTCTTCTTTCTTTAAACATGCTAAGTTCAGTCACTTGAGAGTAATAATAGCTTCTTGCCTAATCTTATTACATGAGGCAAGGAAAATTTAAAAATCACCTATATAAATTAATGCCAAAAAGTATGGTTTTCAGAAAACGGTAAGGATGCAAAACTCCCAGCCACTTTATAGGTAACAAGTTCTGAAACAAATGTTTACAGGTGAAGATCAAGCTGGGCCCAAGAAGGTAAAAACTATAAGTTGCAGGTAGGGTGCGGGGAGGTAAGCAAAGAAGATAACCATTAATAGGAGCTACATACGTTTGAAGGTACAGAACCAAAGAAGCATTCTGCAGGCCAACGGGATTACAGCGGACGGTGTAGTTAATGATTTGTGCAGTGGTGAATGCAGGCCTCCTCCAGTGTAGGAAGATGGAAGATGAGGTGTTAGCCCTTGCATAGAGATTGTGGGGTGGCGGTGGAGGAGGGACCATGCGATCACGAACAGCTATTGAGAAAAACAATGTTAATTTACAATATGACATAACATTTAGCATAGAAAGTGGCAAAATGGTAAAATAATAATACCCCAGTCTGTAAGATGATTTTAGGTCTTTCTTCCATCAGAGATTCATAGTGATCTAGAGATATATCATCCAAACCTAAATAACTCTTCCATGAGATGAATAGGGAGTCAAAAACAGTGATGCATCACTTAACAACAGGGATACATTATAAGAAACATGACATTAAGTGATTTCACCATTGTGTGAACATCACAGAGTGCACTTACATAAACCTAAATGATACAGCCTACGGCACACCTGGGCTTTATGGTATAGAATATTACCCATAGGCTACAAAACTGCATGGCATGCTACTGTACTAAATTCTGTAGGCAATTGTAACACAATGTTATTTGTGTGTCCAAACATATCCAAACAGAAAAACGGTAACAGGTTGCTATATGAGAGAACAGCAATGTCATAGGTGATAGGAATGTTTTCACCTCCATTATAATCTTATGGAACATATGGTCACATATGTGGTCCACTGTTGATGGAAATGTCATTCTGCTATGCATGACTATATTACTGATACTTAAGAGACTGGAAAGCAGAAGCACAGAGATGTCAGGCTACTAGCCAAAGACACTGAGAAAACCAGTGGGAGACTTAAGACTAGAACATCCTTCTTAGGAGCAGTACAAGTGAATGGCAATTGGAGAGAAACAATTAGCCTGGAGGTAAAAGCAGATTTTTAAAAAATTCAGTATATAGCTATTCAGTAGTTATTTTCCTCAGTTAAATGTCTTATTGTCTTCTGCATGCAAAATGAATATAGGACAAATAATTCAATATAACTCACTTAAGAATTTACTGAGCATCTATTTGTTTAAGATACTTCAGCTGGGTGTGGTGGCTTACACCTATAATCCCAGCACTTTGGGATGCCAAGGCGGGTGGATCACTTGAGACCAAGCGTTTGAGACCAGCCTGGCCAACACGGTGAAACCTGATCTCTACTAAATTTGCAAAAAAAAATTAGTGTGGTGGCGCATGCCTGTGTCCCACCTACTTGGGAGGCTGAGGCAGAATCGCTTGAACCTGGGAGGCAGAGGTTGCTGTGAGCCAAGACTGGGCCACTGCATTCCAGCCTGGGTGACAGTCAGACTCTGTCTCAAAAGACACTATGCTATGCAGCACAGAGGATATAAAGTAATTAAGCCAACATGGCTTCCAAGTAGTAGTGAGCCTGTAACTTAAAGGAGGAGGAAGAGAAGGAACAGTGTGAGCTGTTGTAAAACAAACTGCCACAGCTTTCACTTACACACACATCCTGGAGTGCTGACGGTCTGATCTGCCTGATAGCCGTCTTCTATGTTGTTGTAAGCCAAGAGCCTCACATGATATTTTCTTCTGGGGTCTATAAAGTAACCAATAGAAAATAATTAGGACAAGGTCTCTAGATCTGAGCAAAGGTGCTGAATGGAGGCTTTATAGATTTTGGTTAAAAAAGCTTCTGCATGCATAAAATTTCTAATTATTAAAAATTTTTATTTCCTTGTACTGCTCAATAACTCAGCAATCCACCTTCGTACGACACTGCTATTATGACTACCAATAATTAACAATTTTACTTTACTTAATCTAATTTCAAACAATAACCCCATGACAACCACTCCTCCTCCTTTCTCTCCTTTTCCTTAACTGGCCAGATAGATTCTTGATTTTAAAAGCCTTGGATGGCTCGATGGATCATTTGCAAGAGGTTGTACTATGTAGAAGTTAGTTATATTTGAGGGCAGTTTACCTCAAACTACGGAAATCAAAGTGAGGTTGTTTTATTCCACAAAGTTAAAGAAAATTACAATTGTCATCCTTTAGTACCTTTGAAAAATTATATAACCATGTTTTGTTTAAGGTTTAAATTTAAAAATGTGCCCTTTCTACAAAACTACATCCTGAAGTGCAAACTTCACCAACAAAGATGAGTTGGAGCTCCCTCTACTGGTGTTTGTTAACTAGCACAATACTAAAACTAAAGTCCATCCTAGACTTTACATATCATGTAAGTAATGTGCTTTAAGCACATTACAACAAAATTTTTCAGGGCTTTGAGAAAATAGTTACACATTTTAACTTACATAATTTTAGAAATAAGAAGTTTAATTATAAAAATACATTTAAGTTAACTGTTTATGATGACATTTAAATACAGAATACTTGCTCAGGGCAAAAAGATACAACTCAGGCCAGGCACGGGTGGCTGAGGCCTGCAATCCCATCACTTTGGGAGGCGGAGGTGGGTGGATTACCTAAGGTCAGGAGCTCGAGACCAGCCTCGTCAACATGGTGAAACCCCATCTCCCCTAAAAATACAAAAATTAGCTGGGTGTGGTGACACATACCTGTAATTCCATCTAATTGAGGAGGCTAAGACAGGAGAATCACTTGAACCCAGGAGGTGGAGGCTATGGTGAGCCATGATCGTGCCACTGCACTCCAGCCTGGGTGACAGAGTGAAAGTCTATCTCAAAAACAAAAAAAGGATACAACTGGGCAACAGAGTCAGACTCCGTTTTAAAAAAAAAAAGGTACTATGCTATGTAGCACAGAGGATATAAAGTAATTAAGCCACCATGGCTTCCAAGTAGTAGTAAGCCTGTAACTTACGGAGGAGGAGAAGAAAGAAGTGTGAGCCACAGTAAAACAAACTGCCACAGCTTTCACTTATACATGCATCCTGGAGTACTGAGGTCGGCTCAATGACTCAGCAATCCGCCTTCGTATGACACTGCTACTGTGTCTATCTACCAATAATTTATCAAAAATAATATATTTCTCTATTATACTTCTCTAAATAAAATAAAAATACAAATAAATTCAACATTTCATAAGGGAAAACAATAATCCTTAATAGATATAACCAATGTGGAAAACGATGTGAAATTAAAGGTTAAAAATAATTCTAGAGAGAATCCAAACATATAAAAAGCTAAAAATAGAGGCTGGGAGTTACTACTCACCTGTAACCCCAGCGCTTTGGGAAGTCAAGGCCAGGAGTTTAAGACTAACCTGAGCAATACAGCAAGATTCCATTGTTATAAAAAATAAAATGAAAATTAGCTTGGTGTGGTGGTGCATGCAATAGTCCCAGATGCTCCGGAGGGTGATGCAGGGGGACCAACTGAGCCCCGAGTTGGAGGCTGTGGTGAGTTATGATTGCACTACTGCACTTCAGCCTGGGCAACAGGGCAAGGCTCCTGATCTCTAAAATAAACTAAGTAAATAAAATCCCAAAATAAAATATAAGTTTATAAAACTCTCCAAAGTAATATGTTTATGTATTTTAGAAACTGATATTTTCTAATTTTTAACATTAAAATTCATTGAAAGGATGTTCTAAAATAAAATATTTTCATTTCCATTTGTTTTTGTTTTTCAAAAAAAAACCACAAGATGAAAATATTCTGTGACTTGGAAAATTTCTAACCTTTCTAGAGGGAAAGGTAGGAAGACTAATCTAGCATTTGACTATCCTGTATAAAATGTATTTTGGATACATCATCTTATTTGACTATCAGAAAACACCATAAGGTAGATGTTACGCCCATTTTATGTGTAAGCTGTGATACAGAGGTCTCTTTGGTTTTTTGAGAAAGGGTCTCAATCTGCTGCCCAGGCTGGACTGCAATGGTACGATTACAGCTCACTGCATCCTCAACCTCCTGAGCTCAGATGATCTTCCCACCTCAGCCTCCCAAGTATATGAGACTACAGGCACACACCACCACACGTGGCTAATTTTTGTATTTTTTGTGGACTTGAGGTCTCACCATTATTGCCCAGGCTGGTCTCCAATTCCTATGCTCAAGCAATCTGCTCACCTTGGCCTCCCAAAGTGGTGGGATTACAGGACTAAGCTACTGCAGCAATCCTTCAAAGGTGTTAAGGAGAATGTCCAATATACATGAAGCTGAACAGCTGAACCAAGAACTTGTTATTTCTATGACAAGGCCTCTAAATTTACACAAACACATGCACCTCTTTCAAAAGAAGTTTGTCTGCTTATAATACATATATATATAGTTTTTGGAGACTGGGTCTCACTCTGCTGCCCAGGCTGGAGTACAGTGGTGCGTTCATGGCTCACTGAAGCTTTGATCTCTCCTCTCTGGGCTTGAATGATCCTCCTTCCTCAGTCCCCCAAGGAGTCGGACTACAGGCACACAACACCACACCTTGCTAATTTTTGTATTTTCTTTGGATATGGCATTTTCTCATGTTGCCCAGGCTGGTCTCAAACTCCCGTGTTTAAGCAATCCTCTCATTTCTGCCTCCCAAAGTGCTGGCACTACAGATGTAAGCCACCATGCCCAGCTTCTTATAATGAATTTTAAAAGAGATTTTAAAAAACATTTTATAAAACAATTATCAGAGAACACAGACACACTTTTCAAATGATTTAGAACACAAAGCACTGAAATTTTAATATCCAAAAGGTCCTGGTTGAGATTAATGACTATTTAATTAGAATCTTGTCTTCTTTTTTCCTCCTAACATATTGCTGAACACATTAGTCAAATGAATCTTTTGTTCAGTTTTACAAATAAGACCTCTGAGCCAGGCGCAGTGGCTCAGGCCTGTAATCCCAGCACTTTGGGAAGTCAAGGTGGGAGGATCACCTTAGGGTGGGAGTTCGAGATCAGCCTGACCAACATGGAGAAACCCCGACTCTACTAAAAATACAAAAATTAACTGGGTGTGGTAGTGCATGTCTGTAATCCCAGCTACGCATGGAGACTGAGACAGGATAACTGCTTGAACCTGGGAGGTGGAGGTTGCAGTAGGCCAAGATCATGCCATCGCACTCCAGCCTGGGCAACAAAAGTGAAACTCCATCTCAAAAAAAAAAAAAAAAGACCTCTGAATGGGTAAAAACAGAATTCAAAATTCAATTGGATCTTTGCATTCCAGTTCTTTATAAATTAATAGTGCAACTTTGAAAAAATATGTATGTATGATACATATTACACTTTGTTTTTGATATGGCTGGAGTGCAGTGGCATAATCTCTGCCTCCCAGTTCAAGCAATTCTCATTACCTAAGCCTCCCAAGCAGGTGGGATTGCAAGTACATGCCACCACACCTGGCCAATTTATGAATTTTTATTAGAGTTGGGGTTTTGCCATGCTGGCCAGGCTGGTCTTGAACTTCTAGCCTCAAGCCACCCACCATGGCCTCACAAAGTGCTGAGATTACAGGAGTGAGCCAACACACCTAGCTGAAAAATACGTCTTTATTCTGTCTCTACTCAATTAGAAGAGTGTCTTTAAGAAAGCCTGCAGAATATAAAGGTATTGTGTGAGAATACAGGAGATACAGAAAAGCAAGGAGAGGAGAGATTTGCCCTAAAAGTAGCTCATGTTCTCCACAGGAGGCCAAATGTGAATACAGCTGATCCTCAGAGAAAGCTCATTTTGATGAGGGTTATGAGTACAGGTGAAGAGATTAATCTTTTTTCTACTGTGCAAACAATTTCAATCAACACTGCATGAATACATCTCCAGAATGGTTCCATTTGTTAGCCCTAAAATGGATTCTTCAACTTTTCCCTTCTTTCTTTTTTAAAAATAAACTTCTTATACTAAATTTTAAACTCAGAATTAAACTTTTTTCTTGGTCAGACAGAAACAGCTTATGTGACCCCAAAAGATAAGAGAACCAAGTTGCTCCTTTAATGCCCCAAGCACTTGGCTACTGCCTCCTCAGGACAGACTCACAAAAGTCCCACAAGAGGAGGAGCAGCTCTTTCACTCCTATTTAGAAATCATCAGGGAGCAACCGTCTCAAGGACCAGATTCCTTCCCATATTGTATTAGGCATACAAGATCCTTTCTATCCAAATAGAAAAGGTAAAAAACAAAACAAAACAAAAAAACCGTAACAAATTCTGGAAATTATTTTATTAGAAAAAAATTATAGGGCATACTATATGGAAGACATAATTTAAAAGAATGAGAAACCCCACTTATATTTTTCATAAGCGATCTACTCTTTACGTCCTCTGAACCATTTTTAAAACTAAACAGTACCAGTTAGGGACAAAGCAGAGCAGCGGATAACATGGATTTACCACACGTTCCTCTTTAGCTGTAAAAAAATTTGCCTCCAATCTCAAATATTATTTTGGTTTGTTATTCCAGAGACCCTGGAATACCCTGGTTCATTCCTGTTTATTAATTTGTCAGAAATTTGACTTCATGTTTGTAAACTTAAGAGTGAAAGCAGAGATCAGAGCCCTCAAATAGTGTTAAGATGAGCATTACCAGGCAGTAAGAATGATCAGCTAAAAAAGAAAAGAGAACGGCTACAGAATTAACAGAATTAAGGATACAGGGTCAAAAACAGAGTTTAGAACCA